GGGAAGACGCATGTTCTCAAAATTCTAATTTTCATCTCTTTGCTAATGCTTAACCATAGACTTTTAAGGCTGTTCAATTTTTGATTTGTTATAGCCATCTTTCTTTTAATTTCGGTCAAACAGTCTTCACTGCTATTTATTACAGAGCCTAGATATTCAAAGTTTGTCACATTTTCAATGTCTTCACCATTTATTGTTATTTTTGGGTGACAGCCAGTTTCATCTGTGGATATTATTTTCATTTTCTTCAAAATCAAGAACAGATTTTGATCTCCACTGTACTTTTGGACAGACAATATTACATTTTTCTATTCCCTTTACGCTGTTCGAAAGGAGGACTGTGTCATCTGCGTAGCGAAGTTCCAAAATAGGGTTGCCACTAATTTTGAGCGGATAATAACTGTCACAAGTCTGGTCATTTTTGACATTTCTTATTATATTCTGTGTATATATTGAATAGGTATGGTGAGAGAATGCACCCCTGCCTCACTCCCTTTTGCACCTCGAACTAATCTGATGTTTCACCAGCTGCTCTGATGGCTGCTTGTTGTTCATGATACAGATTTTCAATTAAATGCACCAAATGTGCTGGAAACCCCATACTTCTCTAATAGTCCACAGTTTTTTATGTTGGGCACAATCAAATGCTATGCACCAAGCATGAAGATCTATGTTGTATTCTCTACATTTTTCAAACAATTATTCTTATATTAAAGATGTGATCCCTAGTTCCTCTACCCTTTCTGAAACCTGCTCTTCGTGTAGCTCATTTGTAAATTCCTTTCAATCCTCTTCATAATAATTTGTAAGAGGATTTTGCTAGCATGACTTATTAATGCGATGGTGCCGTAGTTGGAGCATGTTTCAAATTTCCTTTCTTTGAGAGGAATATAGACTGTTCTTTCCCACGCTTTAGGCCAAATGCCACTGTTCCAGATTTTCGAGCATAGTGCATGGTGGATTCAGACGCTTCATTAATGTGTAAACGTTTTTATCACTTATTACATGAAAAGAAGGCCTGAATTTGCCTTTCAATGTTTTAATTTCATAAAACATGTCTCTATCTCTTCCCTGCATCTGGAGTTGTTCAGTTCTATCACAGATATTCGTAAAAAAACTGTTTTTATCTCCTCTGATAGCTCTTCTTGAATCTCTTGTGTAGTTCCTTTATGCATGGCTATTTGTTTCTGTCCCTAATTGCTTTAAATTTCTTCTTTCTTTTATCAGCTTGAAAGTTGTTTTTTTCTGTAATGTAAATCTGTTTCTTTTGTCATTTTTTAGGAATCATGTTCTGAGCTGTTGTGGTGATGATGTTTCTTGTTTCATCAGCCAACTCATCAGGTGTCATATCCTCCTGCACTGCCATGAGTGCCTCAAATTAGTTTTTAATCTCAATGCTGAAATCATTTAGCCCCTTTCAACACTTTTTTTCAGCTTTATTTTAAACTCTGCAACAAAGAGTTTGTGATCAGTGTCACAGTCAGTTCCAGGAAGGTCTTTGCGGATGTTATACATGTCCTCCATTTTTGTTGTATTAAAATATAATCAATTTGGTTCCTGCTATTTCCATCCGGTGAAGTCCAGGTGCAGAGCCTTCTTGGGTGTTGTTTAAATAGTGTGTTTGCGATAGACATATTCTATATATTCAACCACTGATCAAAAAATCGTTAATCATTCCCAGTCTGATGAACCCAAAAGGTTGAAAATTGTTACTGGCTGAACAAATTGTAATCCATCTCGGTACCAGTATTCGTCTTCCTCTCGAAGCACATGCTCAACCCACTTTTCCCTGAAATGAATGTCTATTGTTGTAAGGGAATCACATGTCAGAACTTCAACATCGCACATTTTAAATGTACTGTTCTTTTTGGCAACTTGTCTTTTAACTTTAGCAAATATAAGTTCTACCGGGTTGAGGTGTGAATGAAATGCAGAGATGTTTGACTGTATTCATTAATGAATTTGTCAGTGTGATACACCTTTCAGAGAAGGGCACCCACTTGTCCTGAAAGTCGGAAATTACTGTCAAAGGTGCAGGTTAAAATACCCCATGTGAATGTGGAAGGCAACAGTAAATCACCACATTATATTCCCAAGATATCTCATGAAGAAACACAGACTAAATTACATGAACAACGTTAATGGAAGTCTAAGGACAGCCTCGTCCGTTTGGGACAGTCACGAGTCACAGGTGACACCAGATCATCATCAGGTTACTGATGCCAATTTTTGTTTTAAATATGAAAATTAAAAGTGTTAAACTAGCTAAGTGGAATGTGAGAACACTGGCAAAATTGGGAAAAACAGAACAATTTATAAACAAAATGGAATGTATGAAGATAAACATCATAGAAATGAGCTAAATGAGATAGAATGGTGCTGGAAAGATCATAAAATATAAGTACACAATATAGTATTCAGGAAGCGACAAACATAAGTAGGGATACTTTTTGATAAGGAAACAGCAAAAGCAGATGTGGGTTACTGGAGTATATCTGATAGGGTTATTATGGTTTAAATCAAAGGCAAACCAATAAACATAATACAAGTGTACACCCTAACATCAGTTATCAGCGAAGAGGAAATAGAAAAACTTTACGAAGATTTAGATTTGGCAATAGCACAAAATCACAAGAAGTTAAAATAAAATTGGGAGTTTTTAATGCAAAAGTTGGAAAAGAGACAACGAAAAATATAATTGGGGAATATAGTTTAAGTATAGTATATATATTATAGTATAGTTTATAGTTAGATCAAGAAATTGAAGAAATGAAACACTTGTTGAGAAGCAAAAAAAAGAAAAATTAAACATGGGAGAAAGCACAGCAGGGGTTCACTGGTCATCAGTAGAGATCCCTTGCTGACTATTGTTTCGGCTCAATGCTTTCCTAAACAACCTTGGAAGGTGGGCCGACCTGGGTCATGAAGCCAGGCCTCGACCTTTCCCTGCTGTACTTCATCGGACTCGATGGGGACAAGACAATATGGTGACTATGCAAGAAGTTTTGTGAGACTGGTGTTATATTGTCGCTGAGGTAGCAAATTAGATCAGTTGACTACCTTAACAACCAGAGTGACAAGCTATCAGTTGGTTCAACAGACTTTTGCATTTGGCATCGAGACACCAGCAGTGACAGCAAAGATTTTTACTGCATATGCTTTATCTCTCCTCAGACCGGCCACAAGCTCTCTGTACTTCTCGAGCTTGTATAGGTGATTTTCATCCATTCGCGACTCATACGGCATGGTTAGCTCAATCAGGATGAGCTGGTGTTTTCACAGAGTGCAGAACTATGTTGGGTCACAGGCCCGTCTTCCGGATTGACTCTGGGTACCTTTCGAAACCAGGCAGGTCGACGGGCAGTAACCAGTCCCTCGCACAGTCAAGTATCGATGGAGGGTATGTGACCTTGTTGATTTTACCTTTATAAATTTGTCCAGCCTTGAAGAAGCACATGGGGGGAAGGGGGGTGACGGTGGACTAGCATTCACGTTGGCCTTCATCCTGGCTTGGTCCACAATGTCCGGTAACTCTTTCAGGACCTTATTATGGCGCCAAGTATTCTTCCCTGGCCTAGGACTTTTCTGCACGCAGACAATACATGCTCTAGCGTCTGCTTAGCTCTGCACATTGGGCATGTCGGTTTGGTAGTCGCATGCCATTTCGCCATGTTGGCGCCAGACGGTAACACATTGTACATCTTACAACAAAGCTCAGTTGCACTGAGGCTATTCACCAGATCTCACCCCATGTATTTATGGGAAGGTGCTCTCGAAGTCCATATACCGGCCTTGCTGCGACTTATGCATGGCTTTTTGGACCAGAATCTCGTTTTCGGCATCTCTTATCTGCTGTATTACCATGTCGCTGCGCTCTTCGGCCGCGGCTTTGGACCACCAACTGACTTTCCCATGCCCTAGGCCACGTGGGTCAGTTTGTGTGTAACCCAATTACTTCTTCCAATGTCAGTGCTTCTTGAGCAGATTCTAAGGCATCAAGGACTTTCCATTTCTTACCTGTCTTTAGAGCGGGCTGGACAGCTGCCATCTTGGTTTCTAAAGACTCACGCAGCATCATACCAAGTCTTACCTTGCTGACTTTAAACTCTTCTGTTATTGACTTAAACAGAAGTACCAGATTAGCCTGTTTATAATACAGAGCCACATCGGTCAGACAAAGCAGTGCTCCAAGCCATTTCCTCATGGTTATGTTGCTTTTCCTCTCCATCGTCTCCACTGCAGTCATGCCAATTTCATACATGAGCAGAGGCCAGAGGAGCTTTAGAATCAACATAAACTGGATAAACCAGACCTTGAACTTCATGATCAACCTGCATTGCTCTATCGCAAGCAGGGCTGTAGCCAGTGACTCATGGATACGCCTGACTTTTTCTTTGTCAGATAACTTCGAATCGTAGATGTAGCCCCGACTCTTTATCATTCCTTCAGAACCGAGGGGAACCATTTCTTTGCCATCAAGTAACTGACTGCCGCCATCTTACCTTTAAGGATGGACAAACTTATTGATTTATGCGGTCTGAACTACATTCCACACCAAACTTTCAGATCTTACAGTTAACATTTGAATTTCCGGTTCAATTTTTATTTAGAGGCAAGCTTCACTTGTAAGGTCATGGGTAGTACTCTGGACCTTTTCTCCAGGCTATGCCTGATTGGTGGGTAATGAACAGACAAGACAAACTGGCTATATCTGCATGACTGGAGGGTGAACTGATACATGACAAGGCAGATGTGGGAACAAGCAGCAGAATCAGTAGAGAAAAAAAAAAGATTATCATGGCCTGAAGAGAATGAGGCAATCGGGAAAGAACCCAACACTTATTTACAGATTACATGTGTATATATGTTCACAGAAGTGTATAAAAAAGAATGAATGTCTGTATAGCAGCTGCAAGAGTATAAAAGTGTATGTATGTATGTATATGTCTGCATGCATGAATTTCCCCATTTTAGCATTTTAAAATGTTAAATTAACTCACCAGTACCATCACAACAACAAGAGCCACAAACAGAACTTGTATCAACCTCTGAAACAAATAAATTAAAAAAACTAAAACAATAATGACAGGACTACAATTTAGCTGTAAGATACCTAAAGTATATCATTGTGAACTACACTTGTTTACATACAGTTAATGCCACTAAATATGTACACAGCATGTATCTTGCTCTTAACAGTGATAACAGTTACTACTCTTTCATTTACAACTGTGTTGGCAGGCAGAAAGAAAAGAAAAAAATATGGAAGTAGGAGGAAGCTAAAGAAAATTGTGATTAGTTCTTTGGTGAATAGGAAAAACTGGAAAGTAAAGAAGAGACATTGCTTCTTCTGTGCAGGGACCATATAAATAAATGTTCTTGGCCCAGACAAAGGACATCTGTATGGTGATTTACATAAGAACAACCTTACTACATGACTACATTCACCTAGGCGAACCACATGCATGAACGAGTTCTATCTTGAATCAAGCAGCTGGGACTATAATCACCGCAATAAACAGCTGTTTATTTTACTAAACTGAACACAATACTAATAGCTGTTCACAAATAACAAAACATTAACAATCATCAACAAGCCAAGTACTTCACTGATAAACTGAAATATCTCTGAGCTATGATACACACTGATATATCTCTACACAGTTCAACTACTAGAGATAAATTTAGATTTAACTATGGAAATGTACCAACGCCGTGAAATCAACCAGACAAGCGGTCATCCCCCCTATTGCCCGTACCCATGTTATTTAGCGGAGCCTCAACAGCTGAGTGGGTATACTGAGCGACTGCGGATTCAGTCCTGAAAGCCAAAATGAGGCTGGTTTCTGTGTGCGTCATCTTTTTATAAACAGAGGCCAGACTTTTAGCTCACTTTAAGCCCAATTAAAATAATCACCATCCATTCTCTGGTGCTCTGCCACACAAAAAATAAGCAGATTATTAGCAATAAATATATTCAAAGTGTAAATTTACATGCAGCATGTTATATTTCAAAGAATTAACAGAAAATAGAATTCACAGAAGATTAATAGCAAAAGATATTAATGAGCTGCATAAACAAACATTTAGAAACCCACAGCTGTAGCATGCATCAAAGCACAAAGAGTCACAAGACAGCACAAACAGCATATTATCAATAGTGTTCAAGATGGAGATTTTCTGTCATCTACTCTTCCTTATAGTTTCATCTGGTATTATTTTTTAAAATACTTAAAATGAAGAATGAATGCCTTTAAATGACATGCAAATATGATTTATATGTAAGAAAACTAAAATGTCAAATAAACCTTTCTAGGGACTTTACATTAATAATAATAAGAACAAAAGAACTACACACTGTTTTCACTGGGTGTCTTTGGTCCAACAGAAAAGATGCAACATTTCCAGTTAGGATACATAATATATCAGATCATAATGTTACAAGTGAATATATGAAAGACTCAAAAACCAAACAATATGTATATCATATGAATGTTTCCACAAGAAATAAAGGGTAATTGATTAATCCATTCTTATGAAAACAACCCTATTGTTATTGGTATATTATACACTGAAGGTTTTGTATAAATGACATTGATCAAGATTTTCTCACTGACTTGAGTTAAAGCCAAACTAGCAACAAACTCACGGTGAATGAATTCCTCCCCATATGGAGTGTGACATTGTCAATGCAGTGAAGTCTCAATATATATCTCATTTACAATACAGTGGTCTCTAAGAGGCATCGTCTTTTCAGATTAAAATTGCAAGTTTCATACCTGTCACAATACTGTTATGAGATAGAAGACAGCACTACACAACTCAAAGACAATTATACAGTCACTCAAATCCTATGTATCTTCAGAAGATAGCTGTATCAATCAACTACTTGGAGATGATCTGACACTGAGAAGTTAAAATGTAAGAGACAGTCTGTGATGCTCGCACTATGAACCTGGGTGTCATTTGAAGGACAATGTCCTAACGGTTTTGAGACCACTGATGGGTGTCTCTTCCTGCTACATACCACAATCTCACTTGTTCCAAAAAACACAAGTTACGAGGAAGTGAACTGAATCACTACCTATTCTTTAGTTCAGAGCCAAAGTAACAGAACAGGGATCAGCTGGCTTCAAAGACCTGGCACAGCCATACTTAGGCAAGAATGTGAACCTGTTCCAGCAAGCAGAAGTGGTTCACAGACAGCACGGCCATTGAGACTGATTGGTATCTGTTGGGGTTTACAATCACAGTGAACCAAGGGTGTCGCTCGATGGAAAATGCAACACAAGATACTACACATAGAGAAGTGGAATGAGGTGTTATCAGTTTCACGGAAGATAAAACAGTGGGTTGCAACACAGATCATGATGTTCTCACTGGCTTGAGCGGCAACCATATTAACAACAAACTCACAGTGGGTCGAGGATCATAGAGACTCAGGGCTGTAGTGGCTATGACTCTCGGGCAGTGCAGCACACCAGCTGTTCCCCCTTGTGAGTCTCTGGATCTAGCCTTACAGGTGAAAAAGGCACTCCACTCGGGTGGTAAGTCCACTGACCTGGCAAACCTTTCTACAGCCAAGACTGTTGTGCGTGACCGAAAAAGCATTCTTGTGCAACTGCACAAAAGAAGTCATAAAAAGACTAATGCAGAGTCTAAACATAAAGAATCTATGGTATAACACCTGCAAGCCAGTTAAAGTAACAATTTTGAGATCATGCATCTTTATTTTGAAGAAAAAAATAGAAGCTTCTGAACTAAAATGCTACAGAAAAATTCTTAGAGTACCATGGACCAAGATAAGAAAATAGATTGACATGCTGTATGACCTGAACATCAAGAAGTTGCTTGTAAACAGCATCCTCTCTCAAAAGCTGAGGTATTTTTGATTTGTATGGTGCTATGGCGGTCTGAAGAAAACACTGATGAAGGGTGCAGTTTCTGCAAAATATTGCAGAGGACAGCCACCACAAAGGTGGATAAGGACACTGATGATGCACTGGCTATGAAAGCATTCAGGGCTGGACAACAACAACAATCTCATATAAAGAATTTTTATTTCCACTATATGCTACCAGTGCCCACACATGGCCACTCACAAAAAAAACCATAAAATAAATTTGGTAGCCATGAAAATAAGATGTCTGAGAAGGTCTACAGGAGTGACCAGAAAAGATCAAATCCCATCATGGGCCATAACAGAAATAGTCAGCATAGAATCAATTCCAGATTATATACAATATTACATAGACAGAAAATCAAATGGTTCACCTGCCTTATGAATGTCTTAAGACACATATGATACAAGGCACACACCAAAAGAGGAGAACGACGTACAACACAAGGTAGACCAAGAACAAGATGAAAAGATAACATCAGAGAAACTTCACAAGAGTAAGATGTGTCTATGGTCGACCAGAAGAGCAAGAAGCAGAACCTTTTCTCCTTCAACACACAGAGCAGTAAAACAAAAGGAAGTGAAGAAGAACAAGAAGCTGCATAGTGACAGGCAATGAATCATCGTGTCACCATTTTTAACTAAGCAGCAAAAGAGAGAGCATGCAATGGAAGCATGCTGGATCACAAAAGCCTAAAAAGTCAAGTTACAGTTTTTCGCCGATAAGGTTTTCTTCTTCTGCCTTCTATCGACCAATCAAGCATAGACCCTCAACGAACTCACGTCAAGTCGTTCAATCCTTCGCTACCACATGCAGCTCTCCCCATCTTTTTAGCTGTCTAGCTCTCTTCAATGTTTTTGGGGTCTGCCTTTATTTTTATGCCACTGTGGGTCCTAGTACAAAGACATTCTAGTTTTACTGTCCTATCCAACACCAGCATCTTTTCTTTACCTCTTGGTCCACTGGAACTTTTCAGTTCTCTCCTAAAGCTCAACATTAGCGATTCTATGATCCTATTTAATTCTCTTTGTTCTGCGCAGACACCAGTTAATGAATGTCTATTAGTTTGCCTTAGCTGTTCTCCATGTTTCCGCTCCATACAACAGTACTGATCTGGAATTAAAATTAACAATTTTAAGACAGCATTTAATGACAGCATGCTGGATCACATAAGTCCAAAAACTGAAAATACAGGTCTCCGCTGAGTGCACTTGTTTACCAGTAAGAGCTACTGCTGAGACTTTAAAGAACCTAGTGTCAACATAAACTCTACCCACAATTTGGAAACAGAAGACAAGCTGCACAAAGCCATCAATAAAATTAATTTAGCATTTTTTCTTGCAGTTTGATTTTGCTGTACAATAATGCTTGTCTGCATGATGCAAAAAGGGTGCCAGAAATGCTGGCATGGAAGAAGTGGGAAATTCTGCAAACCCAACCTACAGTTCCTGATATGTCACCATGTTATTTTTAGTTGTACTCCTAAAAAGCTCTCATAGTGCAATGACTTCACAGAGATGTAGATGAACACAGTAAACATCTGGTTCAGTAAGTGATCCCCTTGGAGAAAAAGGGGAGAGGGGGGGGGGGAGTGCATTCATCACCTACCTAAGCAATATAATGCTTGCCTGAAAGTCTACAGCTGACCAACCCATGGAGCACTATTCAATTAAAATTAATGGTTTGTTTAATTCTGCCACCCTGCTGATGATTCTTCCATGCTTTTGTAATATAGATATTAATAAAGACATTGGAATAGGTTTTAAATGAAGCAGATATTTATATAGTGCAATGCCACTTGTTGGGTGATGTGGTCAACATCATGCTGGCCACCCTCACTTTCCCAGGACAGCTAAGCCACAAGCAGCCAACAAATGATGGAGTTGGTCTGCAGTGTGAAAGTGTGTTGGGCATTATTAGTCTTATTCAATTTGTTTTATTAGTTACTCATAAATTATTCTTTGGCTTAATAATACTAGTAACAAACGAAATGAAGAAAAATATAGAACAGAATGTAAAGAAGATACAAAAGTAGTTAGGCACCAAAAGAGAGAATAGATGAATGACTTTGTCATGGATGTGGAAGCTAACCATCAGAACAACAAATCCAGAAAGTTTTTTTTTAAAGAACTGAAGGCTGTAAAACTAGGACATCAACAAAGCATTTATAGTTTAAAAGTCACAATGGCAACATGATTAATAATGATGAAATATGTAACAGATGGAAGGAATACTTTGCTGAATTGTTAAACTGTGAAACTCCACCTAATAATTATCCACAGGAAGAGATTTTAATATGTGAACAAAATATTGAAGAGCCTGATTTTGAAGAAGTACTGTATGTCATAACACGGCTTAAAACAATATGGCTACTGGTGCTGATGGAATAGCAGCTGAACTTTTAAAAGAAGGTGGTCATGCATTATATGTAAAGGTATATGAATTAATAAAACTAGTTTGGAAGATGGAGAGATTACCCCATGAATGGAAAGTGTCATCATTAATACCCATTTTTAAGAAAGGAGACAAGTGTAAGTGTGAAAATTATAGAGGAATATTATGGTTATTTATGAGCTACAAGATACTATCGGCCGTACTGCTAAACAGTCTAAAACCATACGTCGAATACATATTGGGAGATTACCACGCAGGTTTCTGACAGAACAGATCAGCAATTGATCAGATATTCATTTTACCCCTGAGATATTAGACTGTCCCATGACCTTTGACTTGAGGGGAATTTAAAAAAAACAGATTTTCTAAAAGTTTTATGATGAATCTTTGGACCCATCAAAGATGCAAACAGCAGGGAATGTAGAGTGAGAAGCAACAATGAAATTCACATCCTGTTTAAATCACCAGTCATAACTGGCTTGAGGGCTTACAGACTGAAAGGGCTGGGGCACATTGAGAGAATGTCAAATGACAGAGAGGTAAAAACTGTATACACAAGTGAGCTGAAAGGTCATAGACCATGAGGCAGACAAAGAAGATGATTGGAGAGATAATATTCACACAGACCTACAAACACTTGATGTCACCAACTTGACAGAGAAGACCAAGCAAAGAGATGAATGGAGACAGGTGATATCTGCAGCAATAAACCTCAACAGCTCAGAATGCTTACAAAGAAAAAGAATGACAATTAACTGCAATTATAGTGGCAGGCTGTTTGTGTTGGTGCTTTTAATGGCTGCCTTTTGAATTGATTGCATATATTTGCTTTTGACTTTGCCAAGACTGTCAGTCACTTCAATTATATTTAAAAAAAAATAAAGGATATATAATTTCTGTGTGATTTTTGAGTGCACAGGAGCAGAGCAAGTGTGTAGCTACTTGTCTGCCTTTGAGACAGATCTAATGGTTACAAAACTGAAAAAATAAAACAGACTATGCACTCATAAATGTAAAAGAGACTCACAGCTGTTGGTGTCTGTGAGCTGTCATGATAGACTGCATCTGTAGATGAAGTCGATGTGAAATCAGGCGGTGCTGGAGGGCTTGGTCTTGATCCACTGAGTAAACTTGTTTTATCATCTGCCATCTTTAGTTCGACCTGCCTACAAAGTTTTAACAGAACTTGAATCAGTGCAAGTTAATAACTGCCAGTTATTTGTGTGTTCTAATTTATGTGTTCACAGGCCAAGTTAATTATCTGCTACGTAAAAGAATAAATTTGACATAACATTTAAGTATTTTCTTGCTGACATTCAATTAAAAGGACTATTACATAGAATATTTTTCAGCTTGTAAAATGAAAAATGTATTCTTCAAAATTATCAATATATATTTTTTTAAAGAGTGTATTATCTCATCCACAATTACTCAAAGCGCATCATCATCATCAAGTGCCTTGCCGACTGTGACGACGCGCTCTTGACTTCAGAACACGTTTTTCACCCAACTAAATTTGTGTCTATATATTTTAAGTAATAGAGGAAAATATGTTTCTGGATATTTCCTAAATCTAGGTCCACCAGAAAAAACTTATTTTATTTCCCTGGACTAAGCTGAAGTCAAACATCAGTACCCTTGCCGAGTATTTGAGATGTCAGATAATACAGATAAGACTGAGCATGTAGACTTAGTGGCACCAGTGAAATGAAAGCTCAGACATAGTGGCTGGAGGTTTTGCTTGCAGAAATAAGGTGTCAGATAATTAACTAACAGCCAGACTTTTAGGAGCAGATAACTCAGGCTAATTGTGATCATCTCCCCTTGAGATTACCCATGGCCAGGGTCGAGCAGTAAGGCTGAACAGCTAATCACATGACATTAAAGCACAGAGGCCGTCAATTAGTGTGCAGATTGAGCTGGCCATGTGTTGCATTGTGTGGCATATTATTGTGCCTAACAAAGTTCTGCGTTCTAAATGTATTTGTTCTACAAATCAACAAGCGGATATTGTAAAGTAGATATACAAGATTTTCAAACTTTGCTGTGTTATAGTACAGCAATTTAAATTTTAATTCACGGGAGACAGACATGTTGTGATGTGTGTGTCTAGTCTAGTCAGTAGTTTTGAATTTTTTAAACAGGCTGACTAATTTGTTTCTACTTTCAATGTGGAAATCTTACTTTTGGTGAAACTATAAACAGGTAATTTAGAAGACAAATCTGGAGAATATTACAATTGTCCGGCGCCAACTATCTTGTGTCTTCTTCTTCTTCTTCACTTCCTCTTTTACCGCTGTGGGTGTCGAGGGAGATATAAGGTTCTGTTTCTAGCTCTTCTGGCTGCCTCGACCATAGGCACATCGTGCTGTTTTAGAGTTTCTCTGATGTTATCCTTCCATCTTGTTCTTGGTCTACCCCATGCTCTACGTCCTCCTTCTCTTTCCATGTATGCTTTGTATGGTATGGTGTCACAAGGCATTCTCTCCAAGTGGGCAAACCATTTAACTTGCTGTCTTTGTATGTAATCCAGAATTGGTTCTGTGCCGACTTGTTCTCTTATGATCTCATTCCTGATCTTATCTCTTATGGTCACCCCTACAGCCCTTCTCAGACATCTCATTTCCGTGGTAACTAATTTTCTTTTATGGTTTGTTGTGAGTGACCATGTCTGGCACTGATAGCAGAGTTGGAATAAATATGCTTTGAATAAGATGCCTCTTTGTGCTGATTGGGATTGTCTTATGCTGTAAGAGGGGGGCTAGCTGTCCCATTACTTGGTTTGCTTTACTGCATCTAATGTCAATTTCTTTATCCAATTTTCCATCTTCGGTAAATGTAGTTCCCAGATATTTAAACTCAGATGCCTGTTTAATGCCTTTGTATTCTATTGCTATGTTTAGATCTGTCTTCTTTTTTCCTATTGACATTACTTCTGTCTTTTCAGTGTTGATTCTCATATTATTTGTTTTACATTCTTCATTCATGGATGTTAGATGTTGTTGCAATTTCATGGCTGTATCTGCTATCAAGGCCTGGTCATCTGCAAAGAGTAATTCGTTGATCTTACTAAGATCTTCATTCATGGGCTTGGCATTCTTGCATATACTGTCAATGTAGGTGATAAACAGCAGTGGTGATAAGACACACCCCTGTCTTACTCCAGATGTCACTGTGAATAGATGAGATGTTCCCTGATTTATTCTAACTACACTTTTACAAATCTTGTGTCAGTGAAACAAATTTTGGAATCAGGCAAGTTTAAAAGAAATTGAAGATTTACTCCATTGTATGCTTGACATCATCTGTTTATGGAAACTGCAATTTATCAAGTTAATGGTTCGAGGAGGCTTAAAATACCTTTTTAAGCTGATTACACTGTTGACATATTTGTCTTATGCTGCTATGCAGAGGCTCATATCACCAGAACTAGAAGCTAAATTCATGTCCTGTAAACAGCACAAGAAGCTACTTATGTGCATTGTTACATGCAGTATTCAGAAATATTGTGCTCATGAAGTGAGTGGTGGGTGTGCTTATGTATGTCCAAAGTCAGGCATTTTTCAAAAGCACTGTCTCTGCTGCGTTGGGTTTTTTTGAACAAATACCAAAAAATTCAGGGACTGAATTCATCTAACGAGATAAAAACTGGACAAATTTGCACATCAAATTGCTTCAATAAATATATAATTTTGTCATCTCTCATCTAAAACCATATAAACATACTGACTTGAATATAGTCTCTATCTATACAGTGCAGAGGAGAAATATTTAGTAGTGCTACAGTATTGTTATGAAATGCTCTAAGAAAATTGTGGCTTTCATACTGACTGTGCATAAATGGCGCAACTACACTGGATAAATTGTGCCAAGATATTTTGGACCTGCCTCTGGGTAAGTGGATAAAAATAATATTGGCTATCCTCCGAAAAAGATGGCGGGCGCAAAAACATCCTAACAGAGCCTCAGTCACGTGTCAATTGCGCACTTCCGGCGACTAACGCCACCACTGAGAGTAGCCTCCACGCCGCTCATGCGGTGTGGATTGGAGCTAAACTAGATGGCTGGGACTCACGAGCAGCAGCTTCCACATCTCCTGCAGCTTTACTCGTGAGTTCTAGCCATCTAGTTTAGCTCCAATCCATGCCGCGTGAGTGTGTGGGGGCTACTCTCGGCGGTGACGGAGTCGCCAGAAAACCACAAATTAAGTTCCTGGAAGTGCGCAATTGACTGTGACTGAGGTCCTGTTTTTGGTCGGCATTGGCCGCCATCTTTTGTGCCCGTTATTCGAGGGTAGCCATAATATTTACTAACCTCTCACAGCAAGTCACTCTTTGCCTCTTTACTAATTGTTGACTAACAGTATAATTATATGTTGTAGAAGTATACTAATATTAATCCTCAACCATTTGTGTTAATTTCTGTGCACCTTCTTTTTTTTTTTGCATTTTCTGGCTGTAAAACTCTAGCAGAGCTTTCTGGTGGTTTATCTACATCAGGACTTTAGTCTTGTTCCATACACTGGTTGCCGCGTGCACATATGTTACACAAACCTAACTTATATGTATGCAGACCGCTGGTTTCTTGCCTCTCATGCAGATGCATTCCCTCTTTGAAGGAAGCCCCAATGAATCGACTCTTACGACATGCTCGTTTGGGGGGCAGTAAGTCTATTCTTGTTTTTCCCACACCGGAGCCCTGGAACCCACACAGATAATTTGTTATGTATATGAGTATCTGGCACAAAATTTGCGGCTGTTTTAATGTGCTTCACTGTCTAAAGAGATATATGTATATATATATATACATATATACACACACACACATATATATTTGAACATCTCATATGCTAACTTCTGTTCTCAAGATGTACTGTTTAATCTTTCCCTGTAGCTGTCTAGGGCCACCTATTCCCAGCATGTATTCAACTGTCATTAGCTTCTTGCAGTGTTGCATGTATTAGTGGGGGATGTTAAAATCATCCGTATTTATAACTGTATGTATTTTTAAAAAATTATTATTATATTTTCTAATAGCCCACTAATTTAGCAGCCATTAGAGGTTTCACAACACAGGAATTCCCATTGAGCTGTTTGGACTATAAATAGCTAAAGTCGGACGTGGATTATCCCACTTAAGTGCAGGTCAGATGGCTAGTATTGACACTGATTTGGTGGAGGTGTTAGCAGACAGAACCTGGCAGGCTGAAGATGGGTGAAAGGTGTGACTTTGTTTATGGTCACTGGCCAGCTTAATGGACCATGAGAATGTAACCATGGGAATGCAGACAAGTGTTGTGCTGACCTGACTGACAGTGAATGGACTTACCCATATGGAGGAGCTTTGACATCCCTTGAATAAGAGAGGTTCAGGAGGAGAAATAGGAGCTTAAAAGAGATTATAAAAGTATGGACATAGGGATTGGAACTTTAGACTCTGCAATCTGTTGGACTTAAACCCTAAGCTTGAGACAGAACTTGGTGGCACTGTGTTTTCATTTTCCAGGTAAGTGAAACGATTTTAAACCTTTATTTCATGTTAGAAATCTCAATATTCTCTTTTCTCATGTGTGTGTACTTATTACTTTATAGTACTCCTTAGAGAACGTTTCTTCATTCCAGTAGGGTACTGTCAAATTGCTATATATCTTAATTGATATTGTCATGTATGTTTTCAGTGTACATGTGTTTCAATGTTGTATAACTTGAATACTGATGTTGCCATTGAAATTTGATGAACTATCATCATATTTATGAAATCCCAAGTGTGGTGATAATTTTTGCAGTTCCTTCACGTGTGGTTATTTTGAATCTATATTACATACAGCTATTACACTGAAATGTATTTAACTCCTTGGAAGCTAATGCCAGAGACTCACCCCGGAGAGAGAATTTAGATTTGATGTTGCCCCAGAAATATTGTTATCATTCTGGGCACATACATTATTTCAGGCAATAATTCCAGAATGTGTTCTGTTAAACGAATGTCAATTTTGAGCCTGAACAAGAGACAACATTAGACTTAAAGGACTCAACTATCATTACAGGACATGAGTAGAGGAAGGCAAGAAATGTAACAACTACAATGTGAGATGAAGTTATTTGAGACTGGACAGGAGAGAATGCGAATATGAGGGGGAGAGATGAAATG